CCTCTCCACCATCGCAGTCATGACATAGCGCCCATCATCTACAGGCGAGTCTCCCTCCTCCAACTTGGGCATAGCAACACCAATCAGCCAAATCCGCGATGGCATATGTGGAGGAGAAGAGGTAGTCGATGAGGCGGCGAGAAGGAAACAGAGATGTGCTGCGAAAAGGAGGCGTCGCGAGAGTAGCGACTCGCCCATGCGCTCTAGCGCCTCGCGCGCCAAGTCCTCATGGCCCTCGGGGGCGGACAAGAGCATTGCCAGATGCGGACGCCAGTCGCCCGTGTCTGTCCCTACACGTCGAGGAGGGATGTGATGTTAAATACGAAGAAGGTAACAGTTCAGAGTGGTAAAAAAGAGGTTACCTCCCACCATTCCTGAATGAAGAATTTGTCAGGTACCAAAGGGGTTAAACACAACTCCAATTTATTACTGATTCACCGTGTTTATAAGATGAGCGATGCGAAAGGGCACGTGGATGAGAAAACATAATACCATTGAGATTAGTGGTTTAAAAGCATTAACAAAGCGTATTCATCAATTTACTGCTGAAAGTGCTAACCACGAGACAGTGTTTTATATACAACGTTGGGATATGGAAATTGTCAAAGTATAGAAATAGCAACATTCAAATTTGTAGTAGTCAGCAAGATCACGGCCAAAGGCAGATGATTAACATAAGGCCAGGTCGCTGCAAACACCAATGCCTGACTTGAAAGGTGATAGGGCGAAAAATGGTCCCACGAACACAAAATAGGAAGAAAGCATAAAAAGAATAAAACAACAACAACAAAAAACAACAACGATAAATTATTCTTTCTTATTTCCATGTAGATAAAAACAATTTGGATATTTAACCATACCCTACCAAAGTCCAATAATAGGAAATTAAAAAAGGCACACTTTGACAAGGCTTACTAACCCTAATCAGTGGATTAAAAGGATGGAGCACAGGAGGCAGGGAGAGCAAACAGTACTCCTCACCGAATGGCGCAATAAACACTCTTCACATACGCCTTCACCCACTTTGAATGCCGCACAAAGTGAACCAAATTACAGAGCACTTCAAAATGTCAGCAAAGCGGCGTCAGTGTTGGATCGCATTTAAGAGAGGACGAAGAACGCGGTGATAAAGAAGGAAGCATTCAATCGTGGTTTCATGGCATGGATTGTTCAAAAGCCATAATGAATGCTTCGCAAACTAGCGGGTACGATAAAAAACCAGGAGAGGGAGCAGCAGGTTTAAAAATTTCACAAACCAGAAATGCGTCCTGTGGCAGAATTGATGAAGTTCGTGTGACAAGTGTAATCAGATGGCTTAAGGTAACTACATTACAACCCATGCATAATTAGGCGCAAGTTCGCATCGAGAGTCCGCTAAAGTAGAGTGACGGGCATTCCAAAATCTCTATGCATAATTTGTAAACGAAAGAGTATCCAAAAGATGGCCAAAAAGATTATAAATGCGGACCAAGCTGGCAAGCTGAACGTGGCTAAACAACAGCAATCGTAGGCGCAAATGAAGGGGCGATTTCTAGAAAACCAATGTATCGGAACACCAGAATGGTCAGCCAAAAAGTGATTGGTTACGGTCAGGCACCATTGTGGCTAAAAAGGTGCAGCAGCTGTCAAAAAGGTCAAGAAGGCCTCTAATGCTGCAGCATCTCGAAAGCTCAGCAGTAGAGCAGAGTTTAAGCCAGGAGTGTGTTCAACCAAAAGACGAGATTAGGAGCTACTAAACATTCTTGAAGAGCATTACAGAAGGAAGACAGTGTGGTGCAGTCTATGCATGCCAGTAAGAAGTAACATCAAGAGATAACACACACGAAAACTGAATTACGTTTGTTTAAAAAAATGTCCAATTAAAATACCAACAAAACAGGCGACTTCAAACAAAAGGATGAAGGCTGCACGTTTGGATAAACACAAAGTCATGCGTAGACGTATAAAAAGGGTCAAAACACAACAAATTCGATTCCAAAAGCTTATTGCACCAAATCTGCAGCACGCAACTGAGAATTTGAATCGAGAAAATAGTAAACCAAAAGAAATCAGCCCTCTCCTATAATGGGATTCCATCGTTTAAAATGACGCGGAACAGGAGCTAGACTGGATTGTAAAGCGTTAATTCAGAAGGCAAAAACTAATACTTAAAGTAAGGTTAATTTACAAATGATCAAATATTCGACGAAGCCAGAAAAGAACTAACAAGAAAGGAGGAAGAGCGGTTCAAATTAAACTGTTGGACCAAGATCTCAATCGAAAGCAGATCAATGGCGTAAGGTCTATGGTCATTCCTACCAGTACTTAAGCACAGATTAGTTGTCATTTCAGAAACGAGAACTAAAAGAGGTGGAGGAAAGAGACTCACCGCCAGCGTATGCAAGTTGATCAACAGAGCGAGGGATTTCACCAGCAGTGAGTTGATAAAGAGTGAGGAGAGGATCGTGGGGATGTACAGCGCGAGAAAGGAATTTCTCCATTACCCGCTCCAGAGGTAGTGGACCAAGACGATGGGCCAGGGCGAAGGCGTGACCCCACAGCTGCTGTTGGCATGCCTGATCCAATGCCTTTAGCGGGTGACCGTGCATCAACAGCTGGATGAAGAGGTAGGAAAAAAGGGGAATCAGTTCAGGTTCTCAATAAGTCAGTTATCACCTGGTGTGTTTGATACAAAATTGGCACCGAAGGTGTACAGAAGTGCCACCAAGTTCGCACTATTTATTTTCCGCACAGCATGCAAAAAGATCTGGAATTTAGGAGATGAACCAACCTCTCTGAATCTTCGAAGAGCAGTTGCCTCGCGTTCTTGGGCCCCACCCATATCAGCCAACAATCCCTTTCTCAATAGCCTAGACATTGAAGCACCGCCCGTTGACGAAGCAGAGGCGCTCCTCTGTTGTTGTTGCTGTAGCTGCGAGAAGCCCATCGTTGAAGAAGCATGGGTAAGGAGACACGGCGACTCACGTCCCGATGACTCATTCATAACACCACGGCCGGCACCGTCAGTTGAGTAGAGTTGAAAAGAGCCATGACGACTCAGCTTAGGGAGAGTAGATACCCGACCAACAGGAAAAGGAGAGACTGATGGTGTAATAGCGCTTGCAGAATAGTCGTATGTCCTTGAACCCTCGCTGCCCAGAAGTAGATTTACCACATCGCCATGGTGTACAACCTAAGATGGCGATAAGGAGTACGAGTAGCAATGCACAGTGTTCTAGACTAAATGAACCTTTACAATTTCTTAAATTAATGAGATCCAAGACGCTATATTAGAAAAAAATACGTAAGCTATATGAGACCAAGCCAAGAGTTCCTAAACTAGGTTAAATCAGCAAAAAAGCTCAGTCATGAACGGCTATGCCTTACTTCGTGAGCAGTGTTACGTTATTCGATTACTTTGAGTTGAATGTATCAATGGTCACGGAGAGTGGCAAGGACGACAGTCAAATAAGGAAAGCCGTCCCATGACAAAGCAATATCAGTTTTGATTTAAACTTCACTAAGCGGACCTTTCTGTCCCACTGCGTTCGCATGTTATGAGACTAAAGTCACCAGACCCCTCCACCCTGCTTCCAGGTCCATGAGCACTATTATTGCCTTAGGGAATAGTACAAGCATTACGGCTCAAACGTACCCCATTATTCTTCACAAGCAATTCCAAATAAGCAAGGAGGAGGCTGGCAGAGTCCCAGTCCACAGGCATTCGGTCTTGAATGTCTTCAACCTTGCCCCTCAAAAAAGCCTGAACGTCATGCTTCAGAGTAGTGTCCTGACACAGCGGACCAGGATAGAGGACGTGATCAGTGCGGTCCCACGCATTCACTAAACGCATATATTCCTCCTCCACCTCATCATCTTCCACATCCCCATTGTCGGGTAAAGTGGAAGCAGGTCCTTCACTAGATCCCTGGTAGGAGTTGGGAAAGATGACGCCGCCGTGATGCATTTTTCTGGAATATAGTGAGACCTGAGTCAGACGCGAACCGACCTCAGCCACCACGTCAGACGCCAGCTGACTGATATCCAAAATCTCAACACGACCAGGTTCACCATCTCGGGGACGGTTCGGAAGGATCTAGGATCCAATGAATAAAACCGCTCATTTTCTTCTGAAGAGGAGAAGACGAAAGAATTTCTATTAAGGTGGTTACCTGAATTAGCATTCCTGGTGTGGAAAGAGTGGCCCGTATGTGTGGTTCGATAAAAACTTTTGGAGTAGTGCGACCCATAGGGATTGGCCAACCGTTTGCGGCAGCCATAGCGCCAAGATAGTACTGGTAATAGTATGTGGCATAATCGACAAAGTGTGGGAGATTCTTCTGGTTCTGTGAATGGGGCATTGCAGGCCAAGGGGGAAATCCCGGGAAAGCAAAAGGCTGCTGTTGCTGATGACCAGACTGGGACGTGGACTGGATCAAAGGCACCACGCTTTTGGGAAGGTGACGCAGATGGTGCTGCGCGTGCTGTCGATATTGTTGTGGAGCCGAATTCCCAAAGTCGTAGCCAGGATAAAACTGCCTGTAGTAATTTTGCATTACTTGGTACCACTGGGTATATGGGTCCACTTAAGAGGGAAAAAGGATATTATAAATGGAAGAAGCGAATCGATGCGACCCAGCTTGTGCATACACGAATACGGAGAGCTGCGAGACAAAGTAGTCTGCAACTCTACCAGAGCGCAAGAAAGCAGCATACAATGCCCGAAGAGCTACAGAGAAAATAAAGGACATGCAACGGGCTAGTTCTCTTCTAAGGCCAAGTGTAACACACCTGAAATCGGATCGTCCATTGCTTGTGCTCTTCGTACTTTAAAGAAAAGGCTCATCAAAGAAAGTTAAACAGAGAAGAATGAGAGACCAAAGACTTACTTTCTGACGCAATGCTTTCTGGTGTGGACGATCGATTATGAATAGCCTCTATAAAGCGATTCCCTGCATTCCTGCTGGGTCCTTTGGGAATTCTGCTATGTGAAGGCAATAATGAAGTCCGCTCTATTGGGGCTTTCTTGCTGAACACTAGGAGATAAAAGGCTGAATAACAACTCAAACCTGGTAAATCAGGAGCATCAATTACATCCGTCTGAAGGCCGGCAAGGTCTTCAACGAAAGACTTTGACACATAGGTAGAAACGTTCATGGGTTGTGAATTACAGCTCTGTTCTGTGGTGGGCTGGGACATCAAATCAATCAAATTATACGATTCTTCCCGAGAAATGTCACCATCGACGACCGCAGCCACCGAAGCAGTGGTTTGATCCAGATTATCATGAGTCACATTCAAACCATCTCTATCAAAAAATAGAAGTATTCTGCATCGCACTCACTGAAAACTACCGTCATAAGCCATTAATGAACTAGCAACAGTGAAAACACAGAAGAGCCAACCGTCCAATGACGTCGGAAAAATCGAACAAACTGCCTGCGCCGATAACTTGACCAAACAAAATCAAATAAAAGTAATTAATTTTTTAACAAAAGTAAAAAATTTAAAACTTAAAATGCTATAAAATGCAATTTTATTTTAAACCTTAGTATATTTTAAAAACCAGGGTTTTCGAAACACTGAAGGAACAACTAGCAATTCGATTAACGTGTCAGCAGTATATCCGCTACATTAAACCGTGTGCTTAGCAAATATCGATTTTTACCGATTTTGTTTATTTGTTAAATAATTTACCGCGCATCCGATTTTCTAATCTTAAACATCATTCAAAGTGTCAATCGCTTAAAGACAACTCCGTGATTGAAAAATTTTTTCTATTTAAGGAGGAGGTGTTTGACTAAATTGTTGGTTATGTGATTAAGTTGCGCGCTTTAACCCAATTTTCTTGTCGCAACGCGTGAGACTGGTGGTTGCGTGCTTGGTGTTTCACAATGGATAGTGGGGTTGTCAAAGCATGCAACGTTGAAAAATCTAGGTCCAGGGTATGTTCAATATGCCTAGCGAGTGAAGCTAAATACACTTGTCCTCGTTGCTCTGTTCGTACATGTTCCCTTCGTTGCTGCAAAGCTCATAAGGATGCTACAATGTGTTCTGGCAAACGAGATGTAGCCGCCTTCGTTGCTAGAAAGAACTACGATTATTTTGCGTTTCTGTCTGACTATCGGTTCCTGGAGTCCCTTGACAGAGCCAATGAGAATCGTGAGAAGAATATAGCTGAGGTATGTTCTTTCCCTTTGTTTTGTTCGGGCGTTTGAGTATCGTTTTTGGCACTCTTGTTTTACCGCATTTTAATAGTTCTGTACCATCATTAAAAAGAGGAGGAAGACCCAATTGAAGATTTTGAACGCTGCACGGTCTCTTAATATCAATTACCGTGTTTCTAATGGTTTCCTTACCCGCGCCCGTTTGAACCGAACCCATTTGACCTGTGACAAACCTCCAGTCATTTTGTGGACTCTGGAGCTTTGTCTTCTTGGGCCTACCTCAGGTGCCTCTCAAAGTGACGAGAAACCGTGGTCTGACAGGATACTTAGGCCGATTCATATTCTTCTCCACGACTGCTCCTGCTCCTCTCTCCTTTCGGATATCTGGCGTTCAAAAGTTGCTGAGTTGCCGAGCTCTGAGCTAGAGGCGTTGATTGTTCCACAGCTTGCTACATTCCCCAATGTTATCATGAACCCACACCTAACCAATTGGATATTGACCTTAGACAAACGGTTTCCTTATTTTTACATTGAATGTGTAGATAGGCAGACCAAGCGCGTTCTAAAGCATGAAATTTTTCCTTCCTCGACCAGCCTTTTGGAACTACTAACAAGAGACAAGTATGTTGTGAACGAGTTTCCGACCATTTGGGTTTCGCACGAAGAACTATTGTCATAAAAACTCGTTGTGAATGATGTTTATTATAAACACGTTGTGTGAGATAAATGTTGTACCAGAATTGGAGGTATAGGTGGCAATAGGTTGCGCTGTATTTTATATGGAAGAAAATGAACTTTTGTAACGTCGGACTGTATTTTTTCATTGCTTTGAAGTGCGCCATTGCTTATGCACTAACTTTCATTTGCTCGGAAAGAATCTGTTCCCCTTCGAAGCATTTGGCGTTGTTTAGAATACGAGTAGGAAATTGCACAAAGCTTAGCCCGGAAGGACGTGGGCGTGGCTGGTGGAAAACTTCCTAGCCATGATTTGACCCCTGAGTCTTTTGTGGTTTTGTCACGTGCAGGCTGTCTGCGTTCCTCCAGCTATCATATTGGAAGGGGAGTATTTATTCCAGCATTTTTTGTGCAGACTTTTAAGACTGATTATTAGTGGTGTGCGAAATTGAAGTTTACTTGGATGATGTTAAATTCATGCAATAATTTTTAATATTAATGCTTAGAGACGCTTGAGGTCTTCATGCGAAGATTTGGTGTTGAAAACGCTGAATAACACTTTTGGCTAACACGAAATTACACCAGATGAGTCTACAGACCGAGTTTGTCTTTTCGCTAGTAACATGTGGTTTCTCACTTCCTTCGTTCCATTCTTTTCTGGCTTTCGAGTTGCATTATCCTCTATTCAGTCAGCATCATATTGTGTGTTATGATGAGGCCTCTGTTATTCCAATGTAAGTCCAGTCTTGAGTTGTGGAATCAAAGCATGTGCTCCGCAGTGTTGCATCTAAGACAGGCCGCGAGATTGGGAGCCTTCTTCTGCACCTTTTTTTCATGCATTCGACATTGTTCACGCGCTTCTCTTCTCTTTTTTACTTTTGTGCTGTTCATCGGACTTTGGTTGGACCCTCAACAAGGAAACAGAAACCCTTTGTGACCGTTCCAAGACTACCAAAGTTGGCATCCATGTAGAGGGACGTTCTTCTTGCTGCTGGAAAATTAATATTTACTTGAAGTGGTGATAGGCCATGGGTCTGTCAAGCAGAGTAAATTTTTCGCTAAATCAATTTGAATGAAAGGTCAAGGTGTTTGTTTATTGCATTCGGCAATAAATAACGACTTTAAGGTAAAGTAGCAGTGTGGCAAGAGGTTAGAGCACATTTTAACCGAATTTGCGGTTGTAGAATGCGGTAAGTGACCGAAAACACACACACGCGACGCGAGATGAATGTGGTTGCATTTATTTGAGGCAAAGGCATTTATAATAAAAGCAAATCAAGTATAATCTCGTGAAACATTTTGCAATGAGTTTTGAGTTTGTTTAACTCGCAGTTTCTAGTCATCTGGCTTCTAATGTAGAATTGGTGACCACTCGGGTCCCACCTTGTTTTGCTGAGGAGCGAGAGTGCCGGTCCTACTGAGGTTCCATACTCACCAATTCTTCTGAATGCAAGTATTCAGACATGTCTCGTGGTTCCTACGATCAAATGAAAACTTTCCGAGCTAATTGTGGATTATTTTGCCTCTAGGGAAGATCTGCCATTCTACTTCTACCACGTGCAGGACATACATGTGGCGTTAGAGCAGATTAGGGAAAGAATTGACTTCAATCTGCCTTTTTAATTCATTCAAATGTTAGGCGTAATTCTTTGTTAATGCGACTGCCTGACGTTCGGCAGTCACTTTAGGATTTGTCTGGCTCAGTCTTAATCCCTTTGTTCTCTCTGGAATACTTCCATTCAGCTCTACTTGGTACCTTCTTACACCCGTTGGACAGTCTCGGGACGCTACATTTTTGGCACATTACATCAAAAAATAATGCTTTGATTTTTGGCAGTTGCTATTACGATTTGTCTGGTACTTGACGTGTGGGTTGGGCTTCGAGCTATGCTCGAGCCTATTCATCCTCACCTACTACCTTCTCCCACCCGGTGGGAAGCCTTGGGACGCTGCACACGTCTTAAAACCCGCATGGAACTGGGAGTAAATGAACTCTGCAATATTTCGATGTAACTGACATGTATCATCGTTACACATTTTATAGAAAATTTTATCACTTAAAAAGGATTAAACTGTGCTCGTTAAACTTGGAATACCTGTCGATTTTTTCCACAGCTTATTTATACATTCACTCTCAATATTTATATAAATGACATCTGCTTTGGAAAGACTAAAGTAAAAAATGAATAAAATTAGGCAAAATCGTTGCTATGATTTTATCTTTTTTAATGCACGTATGAGAAGCGACCTCGCCCTCCTACTTAGTCTGTTTAAATTAACCGAGCACTTCGCCGCTGCCTTCAGGTGTCCAGTGAATCTACATCCCGCCGGAGTAGTCATGGGTGATGGTGTAGCAGATGAAGATATCCAAAAGGTATGTCAAGAGTGCCGTCTGATCTTTAGGCGATCGTCCAACTTAAAAACAAAACAGCTGCATCTAACCAGCAAAAACACCTTATAAACGCACAGATCGATGCACTCTCCAAGCAGATACGGCGGTCGGAATTAGTGACTGAGGAAATAACATCCTTGCCCGATAGTGTGAATACGTACAGCTCAATCGGTCGGATGTAGGGTTCTTGATGCTTTAAGTACTTATTCTAGGTTTATTCAAAAGAGCGTTCCTGATTTAGTAAAGGATCTCTCGGCACAGCGTGAGGAATACAACCGGACTATTGAATCATTGAAAAAGAAGCTGGAATATGTAAATAAAAGTCTCGCAGACGCCCAACAAGGCTTGAGAGATCTGATCAGCGCTAAACAACAAAAAATGTAATGTAGGTAAATACATTTGCATAGGTTTTAACATATCTGACTTGTACATTTCGAAGAAGTAACGTGATGGAAACTCCCGATAGCCGCTTTTAAAAAGTCTGAAGTTAAATGAAGAAAGATACTGCCTTTTTTGGAATCTCAGTAGCGTCAAATAAATAAGTAACATGAGAAATGATATTTGTGGGCTCTTTCGTTGATTTCGAGTTCTACGGGATCGCCTTGCGCTTTGTGGCCGTATATCGTTCCATGTACTAAAGCGAAAGGTAAACGAATGAACTCTTTGTGGGGTTTAGACTATGACAAGCAGTAAATTCATACATCATTACCTATTTGCCGCGCCTGATATCTGAGCATATCACCTGACACCACGCATCGCACATCATATTTCTTCGTCGTCTCATGCATATTCGGTAGCTTAAGCTTGTTTCATTTCTGAAGTACTTGTACTAACTAAGCGCTCTTTTAGATCGAAAAGAATAACTCAACTTGTGACCAGATGTGTCACGTTACAAAACGTTTGAACCTAGCTGAAGCCCGGTTGCTAGCTCCGAAGGCATCGAACTAATAGGGAAGAAACGTAGAATCAGGCGATTCCATATGGTAACAGATGCCCATGTTCAAAGCTGAGCTTCGGTTAGACATGGTTGACTTCCCCTCGCGGTCTGATGATCGAGAATATCGTATAGCTGAAACAAGTGATCTTACCTTCGCATACGCGGGCAGTTCCTGGAGAGCCTTTATCGAAAGCGGATTGCCTTCGACAGACAAAAGGGAGATGCTTGAGTTTTCCAAAATGGCCAAAGGAATATCTTCGAGGCGGAGGCGATTACGTTCCAGCCGAAGTACTTTTAGTCGAGGGCATTTGGCTACTGATGCGGAGACTGCAGACACCCAATTATCATTTAGATTGAGTTCAATCACCTGCAATCGACCAAAATTGAAGAATGAACTGAGATCGCCACCTGAGATAGGCCACAAGAATAATAATTCATAAAAAGAGCTGACCTGAAGTAGACTTGCACAATCGGGGATAAAATCAATGTTGTTTTTGGAGAGGTCAAGCAAATCAAGAGGGATATCTTTTGAGCATAGCTCCACAGGAAATTCAGTAAGATTGTTGTTTGAAATATTGACGGTTCGTAGGTGCTGCAAGAGTCCGAAATTAACTGCACGTTGACTACAGCTCAAGGAAAGCATTCTGTTAGATGAGGCGTCGAGAGTCTCCAGCTTGGTCAAACGCGAAACATCAGTGGGTAAACATGCTAACAACCAAGGGAAAACGGATACCAGTAAACCAAGGCATGGAATTTCGAACAAAACAGTCGAACCAACATGCAACCTATTTCAAGCACAAAATAGCACCGAAGAAGACAAAGCACTTACTAAGTTTGTTGCCGCTAATATTCAACGACTTTAAACTCGATAATGAACCTATCCACGGTTCAATCATACGTATCGAATTAAATGACAAGTCTAGGACACGTAAATTCACCAATTTCTTAACATCTTCAGGAACCTGAACTGGTGTATCAGGGGCAAAAAAAACATTACTTTTGACAATTTCAGATTACTCAGCTGAAGAGACCCAGTTTTCTTGGCATTTTCATACCTTGAGCTCACATTATTACCCATTGGAGAGAAAATCGCCTGCAAAATTTGAAAACCTGAATGCGGAATCGAGAGTTCAAACAGGTAGAAGGTGACACCACATAGTATGTATTTGAGTAAGATGAGTGGAGGGTTTTGCATTTAATTTTAGCTGTAAATTATAATGTTCTACAAATCTGAAGTCTTGCTGTTTACTGATCGTTTTTTTTCCATCGCAAGCAGTTATGTTTAGTGGGGTCGAGAACTAACGACAAACTTCGAAAACTATTCATCACCTCAACTCTAATAAAATTTCATTTACTTTTGAAGATTTATTCAGCCAGTCCTCGCCTTCATGTTGGGGGCTTGTCATAGTGTCGTTTCTCAAAGTCTTCGAACTTTGCAGATGGTAGTTCTCATTATAATCGAGGTATTCCCTAAAGAGCAGTCTTTGCATGTGTTGAGGACGGATGTGGTTCAATTGCAATAGTTTGAGTCATAATATGCACTAAATCTTGTTAGGCTTCGCCCGAAATTAAGTTAAAGTTATTTGGTAACGCTGCTTAGAATAACCCCAAAAATGATCTTTTTGCGATAGATATATTTTGCCTCCAGCCTCCAAGGTACTTTGAACCATCACTGTCGTGGCCATCTCTATTTACTTCTAATGATACGAAACTAGAACGCTTTACCAGTTTAGTAAGCTCGTGCTAAATATGAGGGTCAATTTTGGCGATGCATAGGCAAGGTCTTTAAGGTTTACCGATTAGTACATAAAAGTCGCAGACAAAGCGATGAAAGAAAGTCCATTTTAAGTCGGGAATACCTTGTAGATTTCACTAAGGTTCTCAAAGAACAGATTACATTTTTCAAAGAATATCTGCTTGTGGTTTCATGATGTGATTGTT